CTACTCGTCTCCCATCTCTTTCAACATTGCTCGCCTCTGGCCATCACCGACCGCCACCTACGTACCACTGCTACTAGGGAATACAAGAATAACTCAAATTGCACTCACACGCAGCACGCACGCACGCATACGCTCACACGCACAGTTTAACTTGCGTATCACCCATCATCTTATTTCAGCAACAGCAATCAGCCATTTTCAATAATCACCGCCATCATGCCCGCAGTCACAGCCAGGCCTAAGCTGGGCAAGCTCTCCACTCCATTGACGAGCACGTTTCCCTCCGATATACACTCGGCAAACACGGCCACGCCTAGGTCCGCTCTGACTTTCGCCTATAAACCTGATCCCAGCTACATCAAGACGCCCATTAGTCCGCCATTGGCCTATACCGATTTCCTCTCAAAGGCTCTATCACTCAACTCGCCTGCTCTTGCACCGGGCGAGATATCTCCCGATTCTGCGCCAACATCTGCCGCTAGCGATAAGTCGGAGACATCCTCAACAGATGGGCGTCCGTCCCCAACTTCCAGCGCCGCCAGCAGCAAGCCCTCGTCGCCAGCATCGGTAATGGCGGTCCCCCCAACTCCATTCACGGCGCCGCTGCCCATGTCCGCGCCTCCTACTGGGGCAAATTGCTTTCCTAGCTTGAAGGTGCCACCTAGTCCTGCCGTTTCCAACCTGGACTCGCCCTTGAGCTCAAGACTCATCGGCTCCCCATTCAGTGCCCGATCCATCCACTCTGTATTTGATTGGGATGCCGCTCTCAAGGCTCGCCTAGGAGAAGTGAAGAAGCAAAAGTCCTCACGGGTAAGTGTACGGCACATCCGTGAGGTGGTGACAAGAACCGTCACTTACACTCCGAAAATGGAGCCCGCCCCCAGAGGCAAGCGACGGAAGGTGGAGTAAGGAGACGACGACGGGAAAACATGTTTCGGCGCACTACGATCCTCTGTTTCAAATCACCTCTTCATATGCTGATAGCGATGCTATCAGCCTGCACATCTTTTAACTATCAACGCACCAACTGTATACCAACCATGATCCGACATCACTGGGTGTTTTCACTTCTTGTCTAGACGACTACATGTCTCCCTGTGGGAGACCAAAAAACGGATGATCAAAGAATAGGAAGGGTGACGTGCTTCCAATCCTTGCTTTTTTCTTTAACGAAACCTTCAGCACTAATACGCTGGTCGAAGCTGAAGTCGACGATGTGATGGATTACCATTTACACCCGGGCGAGTCCCGGCATGACTACTACTGGCGTATCATGGAAGAATGGTGTGGGGAGTTTTCTATTTTTACTTTGTTTTTGTCCCGTTCCCATCACCATGTCGGCTATCTCATTTTTTTTTGTTACTGCATTCCTTGACTTCCGAGAGGACGTGCGAGGGTGGAGGCTTTTTCTGAAAGAATCAAGGGATTTCCTTGTGGAGTTTGTTGGCGTTTTCCTTGGGGCACGACCTTAGACGTCTGACGGGCGTTCAACAGCGCATCGACCAGCTTGAGTCGGACTGTGGATAATAGTCTGCCTGCTCGAGTCTGGGCGGGGGCGGCAGAGGGTCAGGCGATGCGGCGTGTGTCACCGGGAGCGGGAACCAAGAGGGGCCGGCTTTTGCGAGGTCGCATAAGACAGGGTTGACGGAGGCAGTTTGACTCTTGAATAACAAGACGGGCCAGCTGCACAGCGCAGATGGGATTGCTCGTAGCACGCACTTATACACTATTTAGAGACACATGAAAGACTATTGATGAAATCCATTGGACGAGAATTGCTTTGTGACCAATCATGATGGCGAGGACGGCGCTGATTAGTGGGATAACTTCCGATTGCAACACAAGCCCGATCATGACAGATGCAGCGTCTACTGGCGACTGCGATCACTCTGGCCCGTTTTACGACAGGTAGGATTTTCCAATTGATGGTGTGTGTGTGTGAGTGTGTGTACAGAGTATCAGCAGCAATATGGAGCAGCGCTTTGTACTGCACGAAGAGCAAAACTCGGTATAAGAGACTGTTTTCATTCGTCGCCTTCCCACGCCTTACTCTCCCCCCCCCTCTGTCATTCTCAGTCACTCTCTCTCACCCGCCTCCCTTATTTCACGCAAAGCTGCAGATAGACTTGCGCAAAAAGAAGAGAACAAAAAAAAAAAAGAGGCCGGGGAGGATGGTCGCAGAGGCGGTCGCATGGGAGTGGGCGCCTGAGAGCCTTTTTGCTTTACTAGTACCAGTTATGGGGCCCCCTCTCGGTATGGGGGTTATAAAGAGTCCTTGGCGCATGTGCATAGGCTTTTGTTCTTTTTTATTTTTCTGACATGGAATGTGGTTTGGAGTGTGAGTGAATGTGGATGGGCTTGCGAGGGCGTTGGGTTTGTGTGGTTGAGGTGGGCGCGAATATGCAGTATCTGCGAGTTGTTTGTGCATGTTGGGGTTGAAGAGAGAGGGAGACAAAGAGAAAGAAGGAGAGAGAGAGTTTTGCCATCTGTTTTGAACCTCCTTCTATCTCTTGTTGGTCTCCCCCTTCTGTGAAATGTGTCTTGTCTCTCGTTATAAAAGGGACACAAGATCCCTTTCGAATCCTACCACCCCAAACAAGTCACAGCGTCAAAGACAATCAACCCCCCCTCCCCTTGAGAGAAGAAGAGGACCATCGTGACAGTTTTTTGTGTGGTATTAAACACTTTCCTATTTCTCTCTCTTTTTGGCCGCGTGGTGAATTTTTTATGCTAGATGAGCGGTTGTGCGTTGCGTGCGTGCCGTGTGCGGTGGGTGGGTGTCTGGGCCGGATAATGGGCCGGACGGGAAGATGCTTCCCGCTAGGTCGCGATGCAAGAGGCCAAGAAGTACTACGTTAAATCCCATCGTTTTGTTTTGTTTTCTGCTTGCTGCTGTAGTCTGATCTGCTGGATCGTAGCGCCGTGGGTTGAGCAAAGAGGCCATCGGAACGAACCCAGTTTGCCGCCTGGCTCGACTCTTCGACATCTCGTTGAGCGGCTATGTCCCGTCGTGTGTCGTCAACACGGGTTGCTGCATATACACGTATCATAGGCCGTCCACTCAAGAACGCAGGATAGACAGAGAGCGTATTACTCCCTGCTGAAAGGCAGCGAGCTTGGAGCAAATGAAACCGCAGAGTCTCTGTCTTGCCCACCATCGTCATCACCGTGGCCATTCCTCGATCTCGAATCTTGTCGTCAAGCCCTCTCCCGTTGTGCCTGGGCTTAAGTCATCTTGCACACGCCCCCTCCTTCATCAAGACATGCTCGTCATAGCAGAACCGCCTTAGTACGAGTAGGAGTCGCCTCAGGTTCCTCTTGTTCTCTCCACGTCCTTACGACACCATCCCGTCTGCTCTGTGCTGCTTTCCTTCCATCCTTCTTTTGATTAGACACCCCCATCCTTCGTCGTCCGGGCACATCCGTCGTTGCGTTCGTGACGTTCGCCGACGTCACTGGCCGCACACCCTCTTCCGTCTCCCAACCCCGGGCTCGTAGGACAGCAATGGTCCTAAAAAAAGGCATAATTTGGGAGCAGCTAAAAGCGGCGTCGTCCCAGGACAGACGACACCAATGCCACCCCAGTTCGTGCCAGTGGACCTCTAAGCGCCGTCGAGCTCCCGCGAGCCGTGTCATTGGTTAGCGTGGATATGTCTGTCACCCACCCGTCGGGTCCAGTGTACATGATTGGCCGGGATCTAAGCGCCCTGATATGTGGGCAACGCAATTGTTCGAGATGCAGAAGACTAAGCCGTCGCTACTGTGGCTTTCGGGGGTCCATTGCCTGTGCTGCTGTGCCTATGAGATGAGGCCTGCCGTATGTACGAGGGCGTATGTCGGCAGCATGTATGAAGAAATGAGTCGGTCATCATGTACGGTACGAGTAGGACCCTTCATGCCGTGACATCGTATGTGGCGAGGAATCTGCTGCTCGTACAGCTGCGTCGAGCTGCGCTAATACTTGTATGTGCGGCCGGCAAAGCTGGCACTTGTACTCGTAACGAATAGCAAGCAAATGGGGGAGAGCGAGCAGGAAGCTGATTGTCCTCTCTTGAGAGACGCCAGAATCCCGGTTTCCCAAGATTTGGGCAAAACTCAATAAGCGAAGGCGGCCTCGTGAGCTCAAATTGGAACCGCTGTGGGAGACGTTAGTGCTTAGATTCAATCTTTCTTTTGACCATCAACTGCCGGGCTACCACGCAGAGGTAATTCTCCTACACGCGAGGCCTCTTATCCGCGGGACTAGCATCGGCTCACCGCTGGGCTGGGAACTCTAAGCTTCTCCCACCCCTGCTTTGCTGCTGCTAGCCTGCTCTCAAGCACCGTCTCTCGACGCTCGACTTGGAGCTCGTCCTGCTGCCAAGGTATGTGCTGTAGAGTAGCATTGTGACATTCGGTCATGCGAGTCACGCTATCCTAATGTCGCCATGTGTTCTTATTGGTCCCAGTTTTCCGTCAGACTAGCAAGATTTTCGAGAAAATCATATTCGATGTGTGGTTCTGAAACGAGAGCGGCGGGGGGTCCTGGCTCGTATCACCTCTGCTGAAACCGGGTTAAGCCGCCATTGGAGGAGGAGGATGAAGATGCCGTCCGTTTTGCCTGGATGGAACATTCTGAGACGAGTTCCATTTGTTGCTATAATTGGAAACGCACGCACGCACGCACGCACGCTCACAACGCACGGAGCGGTGATGAAAACACTTTCGTTTCAATATCACACGGAGCTCTGTGGAGCCTCTCCATAGCCATCGGGGAACCTGTCCCACGCAGTCTTTATTCTTCGCGACTAACGCCTGCACATGGCAAACATGGCAAATCAAGATCGTCCCGCAGGGGCATCGACGGCCGGGCTTCTAAGAAGGAGGAGGGGCGGTCAATTGTCCACGCCTCCAACTCCACCTTTGGAGTCGAGTACCCTCCATCACGACTGGAATATCCCCCCCCCTTCTTCTCCATCTCGAGGCATACAATGCCTGTAAGCGACTGAGCGGGCAGACAGCTAGTCAATTTCTCTGATTTCCTTTGCGACGGCATTGCAAAGAGCGACTTTGACCCCAGCGCCAGTGAGGACGTGGATCCATAGCCGCTGCGTGTCGCTCAGCCTGTCGTTTGCACTCTTGACCTCAACAAACATGGCCTCTCCTCTTGCCTTTCCTGGTTCCTTGTCTGTGCCGTCTGCTTCTTCATTTTGGGCCATCCGCCAGAGAACCAGGTCCGGGATGCCTCCACCTCTCTGTCTATACTCCTGAGCCATCACCTTGCATAAAGCGGCTAAAGCGCTACCTTGGAAGCAGCGTACTAGTTCTGTCAAGTCCTCCACCGGGAAATCCCAATTGAGACCTATCACACTGGTTCGTCGCTCATGCTCCCTTTCCCAAACCCCACGAAGCAACCTTTCACCCTCCCCGTTGGCAATCTCGACCAGTCGATGGTTGATCTCCGAGGTCCGAGCAGGGAAGAAGGCGTCGGTGTGCAAGTCCAGCGGACAAGTTTGAAAGGCCGTCTGGAATACGTTGGGGATGTAGAGAAACAGGATGTCGTAGAACAAGTAAGCAAACAGGGTGCGAATAATGCCTCCCTCAGCATGGTAACCCTTCCACCCCTGTGACCGGAAGTGATTCAAGCACATCTCTTCCACGGTACACACACCGCCAGAGTCTGAATCGTCCAACCACATGGTTCTCGTGCTTGGAGCTTGGCCTCCCGGCTTCGGCGGCGGGTTTTTCTTCAATTGGATTCCTTCAACCGATAGCTCCAAGGGATCGGCAAGCCGTACATGTCCAAAATCATGCTGAAGACGCTTGGGGATACGAAGCTTCTTCTCTAATTTGACCAATCGTTTTTGTAAGTCGTAGTGGTGTATGAGATGGCAATCGGGGTCTTGAAGGCCCGCCTCGCAAGTCGAGACTGCTATGGCCCTCCACCGCTTCTTCTGCTGCTCCAACGCATGGGGGGTGAGCTCCGGGTCAAGGCTGGGCATGTAATGCTCTTCTAGGAGAGCCTTGCGTTGATACCAGGAGCCCCTTCGAGCGAGGTGAAAAAGTCGCTGTTCTAAAAGCTCAGTCAACAGTTCATGCTCCCTGGCGTATCTCTTTAGTTTGCCAAAGACCAAGGCAGCTTTCACGATGATTCGTGTATATGAGTGGGCAGGATTGAATCTCCTGAGATAGGCACCCTCTCCCATTTCGTAGACTTGACGCTCTTTCACAGTTTCTTCTTCAACCAACACCCTCCAGCGGGGGTGTACCCTTTCAAAGATGTCGAGTATTTTCTGTGACCCTTTTTCATCTAGTGGTCCACTGAATTCAAGCACACTATCAACTTCCGCTTCCATACGAATGGCCGCCTCAAATTCCAATAAGTGAGATCGAGATGCAAATATTGTGGAAGAACGGCACACAAGGTACTCGGGAAAATTCCGCCTCGCAATCTTAGCCAGAATGATAGTCGTCAGTGATTTCTCCGTCCATTCTGTAGATCTGTAAAAGACCAGATGTACCCTCTCGAATAGTGTGAAAGTAGCAGGCGATATTCGAATACATGGACCGACAATGGCAAGGATTTTGGCCAGGAAGTGCTGTTCCCGATTGGAATTCTCCCTTTTTACTTTGCGCACCGTTGGACCAGGATGGTCTGTTCCCTCAGAGGTATTCGAATCTCTGCTGTTTTGCCTACTGATGCCCAAAGACAGCAGCCCAGCCTGCTGCTGGCTCATCCGGCACAAGGCTTTGACCATATCCATCTTGGTCTTTCCTTGGATCTTGGCTTCTTTAGCTAAAACCTTGAGCTCATCCAGGTGCAGTAGCGACGCGGCCTCCTCGACTGTATCGAGATAATCTTCGGAGGCATCAGCAAATGAAAATGTATTGATATCCCCAGGGTCTTCTAGCTCAGCACATGGCAGCTTGTTTTCTACGGGCGACTCTTCTTCATGCTCTGGAGGTAGGGTTCGAGACTTCTGGAGCGTAGCGATGGCGCTGTCATGGTCTGAGATGTCGTTGAAATACCCCAAGCGAGAGGACCGATGCCACGCCGCAGTTTTCCGGAGAAACAGCCGAACGTATCTATCCTCTCCAATAAGTAGAGGAAGGTTTGGCCGCTAAAGTGACTTACAAATACTGCGCCTCGTAGTTCAGGCTTCTCCATTGCTGGAAAATCTCGCTCTCTTTGCTACTGAACAGGGACGATTCTTCTTCCAAGACTGTATCTAGTGCGAGGTTGAATGCGTCGACATATATCGAGCTTCTTCCCTTGATCCATAAAGGAGCAGTATTGACATCCGATCTCTCTTCTCCAGCGTTGTTTTGGGAAGACCTGAGAGCCTCGTACTCTGTAATTGCTTCTTCATTGGTCTCGGTGGGCGGCAGGGCATTCTCAAACTCGGTGACTCGCTCCTTGCTCCGGCGCTGGTCCGTTTCATCTGAAAGCGCCTCTGAAGCAGCAATGACTTGCTGCCCATATTCCACAGGAAGCTCATTTGGCTCTTCCGACTCTGAATCGGTGCCGTTGTCCCTCTTTAGCCGCTTAGACGGCCTTGAAGCGACTGGCGATGCATCACCAAGTGAGCGCCGGGCATCTCGAGCTTCAGCGTCTGCACCTGATAGCCGCTTCACGAAAGCATCCATGGCAGCCCATTTCAAAAGCAAGATTCTGGCTTCTTAATGAATAGCAAAAAAAAAGAACGCTCAAAGAATGGATGATGTCCTGCACAAGACGAGTGGAAGTTGACGCGGCGGCCCGTGAACAGCTAAACGCGAAGTCAGCTGACCCCTCTAAGTGCCGTCCCCACCACAGTTCATGCTGCTTTCTTTGAGCTGCAATGGCAGCTTCTTTTTGCCCATCCCCAGCTTGCAATCGACCAATTGGCGCCAGCATTCCGTAATCATGGCAGAGGACGATCACAAGCCCGCGGTGGATGTTCCGCAGGTGTCCGTCTCCAACAATGAAGCTTCAAACCCGCCCTCGCAGCAGAGCCAAGGGAACGACGTCGTCATGGCGGATGTGCCAACAGACCAAGCAGTAAGGCCGCTTCTATGATTCTGATTCCGATTCTGCTCCAAACAATGGCGTTTCTGCCGCTTCTGCCGCTCTGTTGATCGACTGACCGCCACCAGTCACCGGCACCCGCTGCCTTTGCACCCAGCCCTGCTCCTGGCCGAACAGGAACTCCAGCGCATGGTTCTAGAGCGGCTTCAGCGCACCCAGATTCAGGATTCACAATGCCTTCAGAGCCACCGTTGCATGGCGATTCAACGCGGCGATACTTGAATTCAAAGGTCACGGGGGCCCTGCTGGAGGGGATGAAACTGCTGGCCAAAGAAAAGTAGGTTGATCGCCTCGGTCGGCATCATCATCATCAGTTGGAAGCTGTCACTAACAACTACCTTATCCCAGACCAGAAGACCCCTTGCGAGTTTTGGGCGAGTATTTAATACAAAAGTCGAGGGAGCTGGAAGGTACAGGATAATTTGATTCAGAGCATCATTAGATCATGGGACAAAGGCACGTTGAAGGCGTTGAGGATTTCAGATTACAGGATCAGGGATTTTAGGATACCCAGAGCACATCTATATCAATGAGCAGTCCAATTGCTTTCGATTTGAGCATTTGACTGCCGGCTCGGTCTTTCCAGACCAACGCAGAAGAATCATAGCTCTAAATGCAGCTTTTTTCATAAACGTCCCAAACTCCAAGACCTGAAAACCTCCACGACCATGACCGTGAATAACCCGTGGTCGTTTTTCCCCCGTTTAAGCGACAATGGTGCTGGCAGTAGCGGACTCGTACTTCCAGGTAGGGGGCAGGACACCGACGGTCTTGTAGTAACGAGCCAGACGGTGGATTCGGGACTCGATGAGAATGAGGCGGAACTTGGAGTCCTTGTCCTTGCGGTTGCGCTCAAGGTGCTTGCGGACAGCGACAGCCTGATGGTTATTCACTGTCAGTTTCATTTCGTCCCAAAGTCTTTTCTTCAGAGAGCTGCAGAAGATCTCACCTTCTTGATCAGCATGTACAGGTCCTCAGGAATATCGGGGGCGAGGCCTATATAGATCACTCTGTCAGTCAAGACCGCACAGAGGCACATGAGAGAGGTATCTCATGGAAAATGTATGTATATCCATGCATGCATGCGCCGTTGGAACATGACATTCTACATTCGCTTCAGGGTTCCGTACCGCTGGACTTGAGGATTCGCAGAATTCGGTTACCTGCAAAATTTCACAAGTCAGTCAAAAGCGTTCCCACTCATTGTAGTCTTCGCCAAACGCCCGTTATTCCAACATACCAGTGACGACCTTGACCTGGGAGATTCCGTGGGAGTCACGCAGGACAACACCAATCTGGGAGGGAGTGGCACCCTTCTTGGCGAGCTTGCAGATCTGGTCGACGACCTGCTCGGGGGTGGTCTTCAGCCACGAAGGAGCGGCGCGAGAGTAGGGGACGGCGGAGGACGAAATGCCCTTGCCATTGCTGTGAAGTCTACCCATCTTGTCTGGTTTGGAGGTTCTGCTGAGGATGCAAAAAAAGTTGTCGGGAAGCTGGTCGCGAAGTTGCCAGAGCAAGTAACAATTAGGTCGTGTGGGGGGAGGGAAGAAATTTTCGCTTAGTTAGGGCAGAAGGCGGAAAGCGCCGTTGCGTGACTAGCGGCCCTGCAAGCCAGATTTCCGCACCTGCACGTGACCTGACCAGTTCTCTCTTTGGCTTCGATATCTCGACCCGCAATGTCTTCTTTTCTCTAAAAATTTCTCTCAGAAAGACTTTGGACGCGCCGCGTCTTTTCTTTATGGTCCGTCCTTGTTCCCTTGCCTTATCCGAATGTTGTCGGCTGCAGCAGGAATCTAAAGAGGAAATCGATATGGCCAGCTCATAGCGCTGTAATTAGGCCATCCCGAACTGGTAAGCCATCTCTTCTTTGCTCAATCTCTCAACACTGGCGATGCCTTCATGGCACGTACCTACATGATGACACGACACATTTTGTTATATTTTGGCACCTCTTATGTTAGGCGTTCCTTCGGGAATGCCAATGAATTAACCGGACTTCTGATCTTTTGGCGCTACCTTTCATTATTTGCTGCAACACACTCATGGATGAGAAGTATTGCTAACATGAAGCAAATAGACGTGTTATAGACACAATTTCTTTCTCTTTAGCGATAGCACCGTAGTAATCTTAATGAGATTTGGCATTCCATATTCGCTTACTATTGAGCCTTGATCCGTTATTCTTCGCAGCCACAGCCAAGTAAAGCACACAAAACGCCGTCCCTTTTTTTCTTTTCTCGTACCTGTGATCCCACGTTGGAACAAAGTACGTTTCTCATTGTATCTGCACCGCTCCGTCCTTAACCAAAGCTATCATAATTTCCCGTGGCTGCAAATGTGACTTGTCATGAGCTACCTACCTAGTATTAAACCGCCTCGCCCAAGTATTAATTACAACAGTTTACCAAGCGCCTACTTCGAAGTTTTCCTGCCAATGGGTTAGCCTTCCTCTTCTTTGTCAGGTTGAGCAACAGGGAACAGGGAACGCAAACCTCTGGGAAATACGTTGCCACTACAGTTCGGTCGGCGAACTTTCTTCCAGCAAGAGCTGTGAGAGCTTTGGTGGCGGATTCTTCGGAATCGAACTTGACGTATATCTTGCCTACACCGGTGGATTGCCTGCTGCCGCCAGATGGTCTGGGAACTTTGAGCTCCACGACCTTGCCAAACTTGGAACATTCGTCCTGAACGTCTTCGCAGATTTCTGCATCTGGGATTAGAATACCGACATCATAAGAACAAGACTCGCACATACCTTCGTAATCGTCGTTGTCCAGAAGCTCTTCAGGAGTGACCATGTTGAGAAGCTGGATGACGGAGCTTCTCTCAATGTCATTGGAGGTTTGAGAAGCGAGACCACTGATCGCAGTGATGCCCACGTCAAAGTTTGCGACCTGTGTAGGTCCAATGCTGGCTTTCGTCACCTTGAGCTTCTTGCCGCCCATATCCATTCCGTTCAGGCTATTCAAGGCAGGCTCGTTCGCTGTGGAAGGCTCAAGATATTCGGTAAATGCAATTCCCTTGATAACACAGTTAGCACAGGTTTACGCTGATAGATGACATCCGCAAACCAAGCCCGACTCACCCTAGATTCTTCGGTACTGCGGTCTTTCACCAGAACAAACGCTTTGGGCTTGCCAAATGCGGCGAGCAGCTCAATAACTTGATCCTCGTTAATGAAAGACGGAATGTTGGTGATGCACAGCTTGTGCACAGTATCAGGCACCACGTTGGATATGACTTCTGGGTCGTAGGGCATCTCATCTGGCAGCGCAGGCATGACATAGTCCTTGGGTCGGCGGATATTCAGCCCGTGGTTGCCACCATTGGCGGTACCATTCTGTGCATCATCGGCCTCCATGGTGATGCCATCCAATGCGAGCGCAACAGTTGCGTCAGACGCGTTTCTGAACTCTAGGACGGCAAATGCCTTGTCTTGAGAAAACTGGCAGAGAACGCAAGGATCAGAGCTCTCAATGACATTCAGCCCATTCAGTTGTAGGTTGAAGAAGGAGATCAGGGCGTCTTCGGTAACACCGCTTGAGACGTTGGAAACGAGCAGGCGTTTTGCCTGGCGAGAGTTGCTCGCCTTGAGTCCTGCGCTGGTGACTTGGCCACCGGGTTGAGTCATGAAGGCTTGCAGCTTTGTTGGATCCATCGGCTGTTGACGAGGGGCACCTGGAAGGGGAAACATGCCAGAAAGCTTGGCTTGCTCGGCCGTCACGAGGTCATAGCCAGGAGGCTTTATATCCCACTGCGTCAAACGTCGCTTACGCTCCAGCACGGGGATAACGTCCGTCAAATCGGGAGTGGGTTCTCGTTTCTTGGGGGGCGACGGGCTGCGGCGTGGCTGCTCCTGCCTAGCAAACCCATCATCACGCCTCTCTCGCTCTCGTCCTCCTCTTCGGCGATCGTCGTATCCATCTCGGTCTCGTCGGTTGGGCCTCTCGTCGTCGTCACGTCGAGCATCTCTGCGGTAAGAGCCTCGGTCACGGTCCCACTCGCGGTCGCCCCGACGGTCGCGCGCCGATGAGTATCTGTCCTCACGTTCCCTATCACGGTGGCTGCGACTTGAAGAGTATGCATCGACGTCTCCCTCAGGCCGGCGATGGCCACCACCACCACGGTGGTCTGGTGATCGAGAGCGGCGGCGATCACGGTCTCTGTGTCGGTCGCGACGGTCATCTCTTTCGCCCCTCGAGCTCTAGAGCAAAGCAATTAGATACGGCGGGTGGAAGCAGTAATTGGTATACGAACAGGATAATCTCGGTTTCTTCGCCCCCCATCTGATTGACGCGAAACTCTGGTTAGCACAGCACAGGCGCCGATTGAGCAACGGCTGGAACGCGCGTCGTACCTCGAGATGAATAACTGTCGCCGTTCATTGTTGTGGTTTCTCGTCGCCAATTCTAGCGGCCGGGCAACTCCTTGATGCTGGTGATGCCGGATTCTGTGATGAAAAGGACAGTCGATGGAGTCGCCGGCAAGATTCTTGGCCAAAAGCTCCTTTGCCAATGCTTTGCATGGAAGGCGAGGCTGGAGCTTTTTTTGCAAGATGAGCGCTAATCCGCTTCAGCGTTAGTGCTGGAGAGCCTGCCGGATTATCTGCGGCTAGTGCTTTAGTGACGCGCCTCAGGACCCGAAAAGTCCATAGCGGTGGCCCCTATCGAATCGACGACTTACACACTGCCTGCTGATACGGTATTAACCTGTACCTGTAATTGTTTTTTTTTTTTTTTTCCTTTTCTAGAGTCCAACTCAATAGATTCGTCAATCATGGCGATGAAGCGCATTGTCGACTGGCGCAAACTGCCAGTGAGCCTCACGGAACTCTGCATTGACACAACCTTGCGGTGTGGCCAATCATTCAGGTGGCGGAAACTCAATGATGAATGGTTGGTCTCACGTCCTTGCTACTCTTACTGATGCTAAACTACTAAACACAAACAGGACATGTACCTTGCATGGGAGGATATTGTCCTTGAAGCAAGATGAAACTCATCTACACTATAAAGTGACTTGGCCAGAACACCGCACTGAGAGTAAATCGTCCGGCAAAGACGTGCCATTAGAGAAGGACGACACAGAAGATCTCCTTCGCCACTATTTCAGCTTAAACATTGATCTGGCTTCCCTGTATCAGCAGTGGTCGAAGGATGACCCAAACTTTCGGGAAAAGGCACCGCAGTTTACGGGGGTTCGGATCCTGAACCAAGATGCATGGGAGGCGTTGATATCCTTTATATGCAGCAGCAACAATAACATATCTCGCATCTCTCAAATGGTTAGTCCTCATGGGAACGGAACGGCTTAAGAAAGACAACTTTCGATTAACATCAATTGACCTCTAGGTCCATAAACTTTGCAAGCATTACGGCCCGTTGATTGGCCACATAGAGGGCGAGGCCATGCACGATTTCCCAACCCCAGAGTCTCTAACGAAAAAGACAGTCGAAGCCCATTTAAGAGAACTTGGCTTTGGGTATCGCGCCAAGTACATCGCAGAGACGGCTCGCATCATTGCCAAAGAAAAGCCTTCAGCATGGTTGGACTCACTGCGCAACCCAGACTTCCCTGCATTCAACGCCGTGGCAGTAGTCGATGGGCCGCAATCCACCTACAAAGATGCACAGGCTGCGCTCCTCTCCCTCACTGGCGTAGGCCCAAAGGTAGCCGACTGTGTATGCTTAATGGGTCTAGGATGGGGAGAATCAGTCCCGGTAGATACACATGTTCTTCAGATTGCGCAGAGGGATTATCGCTTTGGCAAAAAGGGCCCCAAAACGATCAACAAGGTCATGTACGATGCGATTGGAGATCATTTTAGAGGTATATGGGGCAAATATGCGGGCTGGGCCCATTCAGTCTTGTTCACAGCCGACCTACGAGAGTTTTCAAGTCGTATCAAGGGCGAAAAAGTTGAAGAACTACCGGAGAAAGAAGATGCTCCAATCTCAAAGAAGGGGTCTCCAAGGAAGAGGAAAGCAGCTGTTGAGGTAGAGTTAGAAAGTGTAGTGCTTGTGAAAGAGGAGGATACAAAGGAGGGAGTCATTCTAGAAGTAGACACGACAACCAAAAGGCGGCGAACAAGAGCTCGGCCATGAAGCCAATAATAATAATAATAACAATATAAATTCTTTTTCCATTACTCTTCTCTCTATATTTCTAATATTTTCTTGGTCCAAGGCTGACGCGATACACAACTGTCGTCGCATTGGCTGCACGGAGTGGCGCGTCGGCTGAATGTCGGAGTTGCGTTGGCGGTAGACTTTTTGCCGCCTCCATGCAAAGCTTGGCCTGCAATCCCTATCTAAAATCAACAAGCTTCTCAGCAGCACACCTCCATGCGCAACGCTCTCGTTGGAACCACGGCAAACACGTTAGAACCGGGATGAAGCAGGAATTTCGATGAGCCAAGATGTCTGATGCAGATTTCGAGACGATCAAGAGGCTCCAGCAGGAGCGCAACGCTGCGGCGGCCGCCACCAAAGGCTCGCGCGCGTTGGCAGCCTCGAATCAACGCAATGACTCGACGAAGCAGCGGCTCACCGACAGCGCGGACAACGACCTGTACGACGGACAGGAAGCCGACAAGTTTGCGGGATACCACACGTCTCTGCCAATGGGGGATGATGACGATGAGATGGAGGATGGAGACAACACGCGTAGGCTCGTCGGTCAGTACACGGCATCTCGTGAAATGATTGACGAGTTTGCCCGCGGCGATGGCGTTGAGGAAGATGATATTCTAGCCGGCAAAGGCGAGAAGAGCGGACGCATCACCGACCGCGAGACGGATTATCAGAAGCGACGGTTCAATCGCGTGCTCACGCCGACTCGAGCCGATCCCTTTGCTGAGAACCGACAAGCCGGTGCTGCAGAGAATGGAACCAGCTATCGAGAAATCATGGAGCTGCGCGAGCTTGAGCGCGAGGAGGAGCGTGTGAAGCAAGCCATCAAGGCCAAGTTGGATGATGACAATGGCGAAGATGCAAAGCCGACACTCGCCGATCATGACAAGGAAAACGCAGAGGCGGGCTCCACGGAGGCCGTCACATCGGTACGCAAGCGTAAGCAGCGATGGGATGTCTCTTCGGCGCCCACCGGAGAAGAGGAAGTAAAGGAAGAGAATGGGGATGCCGTCAAGCCCAAGCGCTCCCGGTGGGATCAGACACCCTCTGTTCCGGGGCCAGATGCCATGGACGCCCCCAAGAAACGCTCGCGATGGGATCAGGCGCCATCTGCCACACCCATGGGCAACCAGGGGCTCGCAACTCCCATGCATCAGTCCCAAGCAGCCTCGATGCCCACGACCTTTGGAACTGACATCTCTGGGCGAAACATGGCCCTGAGCGACGAAGAGCTTGACCTGCTCTTGCCAGGCGAAGCCGAGGGTTACAAGGTCCTTGACCCTCCTCCTGGATACGAACCCGTCCGGGCCCCAACTCACAAGGTGATGGCGACTCCGGCACCTCAGACTGGCTTCATGATGCAGGACCCTGACCAAGTCAGACTTGGTGGCAAGCCGATGCCAGCTGAGATTCCCGGAGTCGGAGACTTGCAATTTTTCAAGCCCGAGGACATGGCCTATTTTGGCAAGCTCACAGACGGCTCTGATGAAAACGCCCTCAGCGTGGACGAGCTCAAGGAGCGAAAGATTATGAGACTGCTTCTCAAAATCAAGAACGGAACCCCGCCCATGCGAAAGACGGCTCTTCGACAGATTACGGACAATGCCAGGCAGTTCGGCGCCGGTGCCCTCTTTGATCAGATTCTCCCCCTGTTGATGGAAAAATCGCTGGAAGATCAGGAGCGACATTTGCTCGTCAAGGTCATCGACAGAATTCTCTACAAGCTGGACGACTTGGTCCGCCCATACGTGCACAAGATCCTAGTCGTCATCGAGCCACTTCTGATTGATCAAGACTACTACGCCAGAGTCGAAGGTCGTGAGATTATTTCCAACCTCAGTAAAGCAGCAGGTCTCGCCACCATGATCAGTACAATGCGGCCGGATATCGACCACGTTGATGAGTATGTCCGGAACACGACCGCCCGAGCGTTTGCCGTTGTCGCCTCTGCTCTTGGAATTCCCGCTCTGCTGCCTTTCCTCAGAGCTGTGTGCCGAAGCAAGAAGTCCTGGCAAGCTAGGCACACCGGAGTCAAAATCGTCCAGCAGATTCCTATCCTCATGGGATGCGCGGTGCTGCCTCACCTCAAGGGTTTGGTAGACTGCATCGCCCCCAACCTGAGCGATGACCAGACCAAAGTTAGAACCGTTACGAGTCTGGCCATTGCCGCCCTTGCCGAGGCTTCCAACCCGTATGGTATCGAGAGTTTCGACGATATCCTCAACCCACTGTGGACTGGAGCCCGCAAACAACGAGGAAAGGGCCTGGCTGGTTTTCTCAAGGCTGTGGGATACATCATCCCCCTCATGGACGAAGAGTACGCCAACTACTACACCAGTCAAATCATGGAGATTTTGCTGCGAGAATTTTCCTCCCCAGATGAGGAGATGAAGAAGGTGGTGTTGAAGGTGGTGTCTCAATGCGCAGGCACTGAGGGAGTGACAGCCGGCTACCTGAAGGAGCACGTCCTCGACGAGTTTTTCAAGAGTTTCTGGGTGCGGCGAATGGCTCTGGACAAGCGAAACTACAAGCAAGTCGTTGAGACCACGGTGGACATTGGCCAAAAGGTTGGCGTGAGTGAGATCCTGGAGAGAATTGTCAACAATCTCAAGGATGAGAGCGAGGCCTACCGAAAGATGACGGTAGAGACAGTCGAAAAGGTGGTGGCCAGTCTTGGTGCCGCGGACATCGGCGAGCGTCTCGAGGAACGCCTGATTGACGGTATCCTTCACGCGTTCCAAGAGCAGAGTGTCGAGGACATTGTTATGCTCAATGGCTTTGGTTCGGTCGTCAACGCTCTGGGAACACGCTGCAAGCCCTACCTGCCACAAATTGTCAGCACAATCCTGTGGAGACTGAATAACAAGTCTGCCACTGTTCGACAGCAGGCTGCGGATCTCATCTCTCGAATCGCCATGGTGATGAAGCAATGCGGAGAGGATGCTCTCATGGGCAAGCTGGGCATTGTCCTGTACGAGTACCTCGGAGAAGAGTATCCTGAAGTCCTCGGATCGATTCTGGGAGCTCTGCGATCCATTGTCACGGTCGTGGGTATTTCTCAGATGCAGCCTCCCATCAAGGACTTGCTGCCTCGATTGACCCCTATTCTACGTAACCGACACGAAAAGGTGCAGGAAAACACGATTGACCTGGTGGGACGTATTGCCGACCGAGGCCCCGAGAGTGTCAATGCGCGAGAGTGGATGAGAATCTGCTTTGAGCTTCTTGATATGCTCAAAGCCCACAAGAAGGGAATTCGTCGAGCGGCAAACAACACGTTCGGTTTCATTGCCAAAGCCATCGGCCCCCAGGATGTGTTAGCCACGCTGCTGAACAACCTGAGAGTGCAGGAACGGCAGTCTCGTGTCAACACGGCCGTTGCCATTGGCATCGTCGCCGAAACTTGTGCCCCGTTCACCGTCCTGCCGGCCCTGATGAACGAATACCGCGTGCCTGAGCTCAACGTCCAGAACGGCGTGCTCAAGTCCTTATCTTTCCTGTTTGAATACATTGGCGAAATGGCAAAGGACTACGTCTATGCCGTCACGCCTCTGCTGGAAGATGCCCTCACGGACCGAGACCAAGTGCATCGACAGACGGCCGCGTCGGTTGTCAAGCATATCGCGCTCGGCGTGGTTGGTCTTGGCTGCGAAGACGCCATGATTCACCTGCTCAATCTGCTATATCCCAACCTCTTCGAGACCAGTCCCCACGTCATTGACCGCATCATCGAAGCCATTGAGGCTATTCGCGTGGCTGCCGGCCCTGGCTTAGTGCTCAACTACGTCTGGGCCGGGCTCTTCCACCCGGCGAGAAAAGTGCGAACGCCATACTGGCGGCTGTACAACGATGCCTACGTGGCTGCAGCCGATGCCATGGTGCCATACTATCCCAACCTGGACGACGATATTTTAGACCGACCAGAACTGGCTATTATTCTATGATTTCTCTTTGCTACTGCTCTCTGCTACGATGAATGGCTAGCTTGGTGTAATTAAGGGAGGGGCTCCTTCTTCCCGTATACTTAACGAAGGAGGGGGATAGTTGGTGGGATAGGGGATACTCGTGATAAATTTTTCTGCTCGAATTCTAATAATGTGCAAGGGTGGAATTACAGTGGCATGCGTTGGGCGTTTATTCTGTTAGATTTTCTAGGTACCGAAAAGAAAATGTGATTTCCCCCCTTTCTGCCCTTTTAGAGTAATTGGATATGCCAGCCGTTAACACAGCAACAGTGATGTTGTATCTTGTTTGTTGATGACGACTTGAATGAATATCCTCTTTCGAACTATGAGCAAGAGAGGTATTACGATATGTCCTTGTTTTCGCTGGTATGTACGATGATGTTATTCGAGCCAACCCTGCAAACATTATATTTTACCGCTCCGAGAAAGAAAGAAAAAGGCTCAAGACATGCAGAAACAGAAAAAGCTCCCTTGAGTGCTCGTTTCACAAAGAGACACTTTTAGCTCTGGGACAGGGAAAGGGCTTGTCTTGACCGGAATGGAGGATACCGGAACTTGGCGTCATTGTCTCGCCTCGCCTCGTTTCGTCTCATCGCCTTGCATCGCATTGTATGCGTGTGAATCGTGGTTTTTACGGTTTATTGTGGTTTTTTTTTGCTTTTGGCACTACTCTTATCTGGACATTCCAATGGAGTTGAATGGATGAAGTGCAAGTATACGAAGATGTGTTGATGTATTCATTTGCGCTACATCGCCTAGGACCTAGAGATTCCTTCTTGGTTCTTCACCATGTAACAGACCCAATGACAAAAGACAAAAAGAAGAGTTCTCCTCCGTAGCAGCAAAAAGAAAAGCACCACACAGACAACAAAAAATGAAGCTGCCCACTATCAGAGTCGAACTGATCACCTTGTCATGTCAAGTGAGAATTACTAGTGACACGCTATACCGCTTAGCCAAGCGGGCCGAGAGCTCGTGAGTTGATATCAGCTCGGGGTGGCATAACCG